AAGCTCTACTGTCAACATCAGCAGCTATTCTTTGTCAAAAAAAAGCCAAAAAAATAAATCAAAAATGGACCGTAAAAACCGGTACGCTGTCATAAACAAATGCGCCATTTTTTACATGTGCATGCTCAGTTATTAATAGTCATTAAGTATGCACATTTAAATGACACATAAACAAAATATATGTAATGATTAAAATGCTAGTAAAAACCATAAAATGTCAAATCTTGGGACGTCGCCACAAACATTTAACGAAATTTATGCCGCCCGTTAACTTTTTTTCTCTTCATACCACTTCTTAGTTCTTGTTTTTTTTTTTTTTTTTTTTTTTTTTTTTTTTTTTTGATTGTTGTATTTTGCTTAGCTCTTCCAGCAAATTGAAAACTACACTAAAAAATTATGTTAATAATGGCTGTTGGATGCTTCGACTGAACCAACCACACACCCACGTCACTGCCATCCAACAGCTAGTTGTTATTGTTGTCGTCTCTGTCTGTTTGGCTTAGGCTCTATGCAAATTTTGCCGCCATTTAGTTGAAATAGAGCCCAGAGCCGGGTTAGGGGGGAAAAAACTTTAGAAAAATTAAATTTAATTTATGCACAAGTGGCAACCGCTGGCAAAGCCCCGTGGCTCTCAGTTCTGTGGTCGCTTTGCAGCTTTGCCAGCCAGCACATCTATAGGGGAGATGTGGGGGGCTGGAAGATACGGCCAAGCTTTAGTTTGGGCTGTTTTTAATGACCAGGCCGAAATAGTTTTGGGAATTTATAAAGCACGGCGGGCGTTAAAATTGAAATTAAACATAAAACTCGGCCACGAAAGGTGTGGTTGACAATCACAAGGTAGAGCTATAAAACGAGCGTGAATGTGAATGGTTCGGTACTTAGATGGAAATAATGATGAGATTTAGCAGACCCTCGCAGCTCTTTGTTTACTTTGAACGGAAATGGTCTAAAGAAAGCAAGCTGAAGTGGAATAAATTTGAGTACAAAGGAAGGTTGTTAAATAAATCGATGGATTTACGAGCATTGCCAATAACACATCGAGACCCAAAAAGAATGTAAGCACCATTTTCGAAAGTGACTTTTTAATGCAAATCAATCATAAAAGTTGTTGCGCATTAACACACTTTATATTTTAAATGAATTAGTATTTATATTTGCAGAGATACAGCAGATATTTATTTCAAATTAAATATTTAGTAATTAATATTTAAATGTACATTTTCGTGGTAGGTTGTCACCTAAAGAACTAATAGGTATTTGGCAAGACTTTGAATTCCTTCTAACAAAAGTCGGATAAGAAGCTGTTTCGAAAAGTAGTTAATAAGTAGGATGGGATGGGACTTATAAGATCATGCTTTGCTTCGAACGGAGCTAGATCCGCCTATAACGTCTTTCGCAAATGCAATATGAAAGTAAAACGTAATTAAAATTAACAACAAAAGCAAAATGCCTCAATTCGGCTACAAAATATGGGGGCTGCTGCCAAATAGTGGGAGATTTACATTAATATCTGCAGATACTGAAAATGTTCCAAGAAATGTCCAGGTCTAAAACCAACAAAGATATTGGCTTTTCTAGCGATTAGACTCGATAAAGAATTTACTAACAGAGGCAGACAGGGCGAGAGACAGGACGAGAGACATGAAATGAACTAATTCTCCTTATTTAGGGCATTCCTTGATTCAGAGTATTGCAAGACCGTCTCGAATATTGCAGATGCTAGCATTTCACTTGATTGAGCTCTATTGGTTCAGATGCCATGCTTTCCCATTGCCTTGTTATTAATTTTCCACTTTCGAGAAGCTCAACTATTTACCTCTTCCAGTATTCTGATTCAACTGCTTAATATATCTTACAAAACACCTAAAGAATTCACTTGCATTGTTGGCGGAATAGCTATGCGTTTCCCCATAACGCTGACCAACTCTTCAAACCGACAGCTTAACTTACTTCGACTCGTCTGTCAATCAATTCACACAATCTACTGGTTTCTGCTTTCCTTCAGAAGTTGTTTCGCGTTACCCTTTCAAAGACTGCCCTTTTGCCACACTCAACCCTTCGACGCCCCCGTATCATCATGTTAGGCTTCCCACCCATTTTTGTAGGGCGAGGAGAGGAGCGTAGGTGCGTTACACCTTTACTCAAATGTTTGTCTAAACACAGCCCAGCAAAACAGACTGGCTACGCCCCATTCGAGCAGAGCAAACGCCCACAATGACAACGCGAAAATACAAAAGCATCAACAATAGCAAGAACAGCAACAACAACAACAGCAACATCAACAGCAACAGCAACAACATTAACAGCAACAACATCAACAGCAACAACAACAACTAATACACAATCCAGACTACGCATAATTTTAGGGCGAGGTACTTAAAACTGCGAAAGCAGCACGCAAGTAGCAGCCAAGTCTTGAACATTGCTGTTGTAGTTGTTGTTGTTGTTCATGTTCTTGTTGCTGTTGCTGGTAGCTCCTACTACCTGTATTTACACGTTTAGACCGCCTGCTTCCTGCTGTTGCTTCAGCCGCTCATTTCATTTCATTTCATTTGTGTTACATTTTCTGCAGTCACACCTACAGGTTTGCAAGCATCAGTTTCAGCTTCAGCCCCTCCTAGGTACATACATACTCGTATATATATATACATAAATACTATGTATATGTATATACATATATGCATGCATATAAATGAAATAAACAGCATGCGTGGCATAACAAATTGTTGGCATAGAGTTGAGCATGAAATTGGGGGCGTCGGCTAAGTAACAATAGAAGAGTAAACAGGGGAGACTGGCTTGCTTGCTTGCAATCCTTTTTTCCAGAATTGTTTGGCATAAATAAACAATTCAATTCAATTCCCTCTTTTTTCTAGCTTTGTCTCTTGTGTTGAGATTTCTTCCAAGTGTCTAGCAGTTGGAGCATGTCAACAGAAAACGTTACAAAATACTCAGAGCCGGGGTTGCCAAACGGCTATAAATATAGCATGTAAATGAGTTGGCAGTGCGTAGGTGGAAATTAGAAAAAATAAAAAGGAGGAAGAAGAAAAGGAACTACAATTTAAGTGCGCGTCAAGACCAAACCCAAAAGGTTCTCGAATAAATACATCCCATACATCGTCATGCATATACTCGTACATACAACATAGAATAGAGATATACTTGTACTATGCATATGTATATGTGTGCAGTATGTGTGTGTGCGGAGTGCCAAATGCGTTTGTCTATGAATAATTCAAATGGTTTGTTGTTGGTAAGCCAAATTGTAATAATAATGCCACATTATGCAATGGGAACGCGCCTGACACACAACCAACCCAGTCAGCCAGCGATTCCGACCAGACCCACACCAAGTAGACTGAAAGACCAGGAGAGAGACAGGCGGGCAGACGGACAAACGGACAGACAGACAGGCAGACATTTTGTGACTCTGAACCTCTCTGATAGTTTTGTAATGATCAAATTAAATGGCTTTGCTTAGTTGGTTGCGTGGGCGCGTTGGGGCGTTGGGGCGTTGGGGCTTCGGCGCTGGTTAGACAAAAGACTGTCGGGGCTTAGCTGAAATGGTAATGAATTTATTTAAATGGCGCGTAATCAGCGAACGAGTGTGCGAAGAACTGTGTGTGTTTAGCTTGTTCTGTGAAAATGAAGTTGCCTTTGCGGTTTGTTGAAATGGGGCACGGGGCTTTAGGCATGGCGCACATTTTGTTGTAATTGCTTTGAAGACTTTGAAAAATTGTCAACCATTTGACAGCAGATAATGCTGGGAATTGTTGAACATTCTATCTACATAGCACTTGCTATTTACATATATACATATATAGGATTTTGATCACAATAAAATGTGTTGGATCTGACCTCCATAATTACTGATGACATCAATCTGAGATAAATACAATTTTCAACTTATGGTTTTACACATTTTTGCTTGCAAAACCTCATCAAGGAAACAGCATTTAAGTCTATCAGCAGTGCGATTTTTGGTAATAACTTCTTCAAACAGAATATAGTCTTGAGTTTTATAAAGCCACAAACGTTTATAAAAATTGCAAAAAACAAGATTATTATTCTGGCGATGTCATCAACCGTCAATTCAAAGATTATACGGATCGCCTAAAAAATCATCCAAACGCACTTGCCAGGCGTCCGGGTGGCTAGGAAGCTAAGAAGATCGCACGCTATTGTAATATTTATTATCATCTTTTAAAAATTTGGCAAAAAACATAATCTTTTGTTAATTTTAAATAAATTTTTATGAGTCTAGAATACTACCAGCAGCACCATTTAGCAGCAAATCAGCTTCTAATACTAATACTAATAAGTAGTTAGGAGAGAGTCTGCAAAAACATGAGTTATAAGCATAAAATATTTTAGAATATTTGTAGAAACTCGAAATGTTAATCATTTTTCAAATATTTGTCACAAAACATAATCTTGTGTTAGTTTTAAATAAATTTTTATGAGTCTAGAAACTACTAGCAGTACTATTTAGCAGCAAAAAAAATTCTAGCACTAATAGTTAGGAGAGAGTCTGCAAAAACGTTAGTTATAAGCTTGACTGCTAATACTTTTTACTGGTTGCATAAATTGTGGCGAACCTGCGTAGGCAGCTGCCTCGATGATTGAGCGTTGGCCAAGTTAAGCTTAGGACCTTCATTAAGGTCACGAGAGTGCCTGTGCCTGTGCCTGCTAGAAACGCGCAAAGTAAATGGGCGCACATCAAATAAATTGCACAACAATCACAATCAGCTAATGTGTAGTGCCTAATGACCAAGGCAGCCCTTTGTGGGCCACCAGAGTGCGGGCCTGAAGACGGCCTGGGTCTTGGCCCGGAGACTGGGCCTAATGCATTTTTAAAGAACACTTTTGTAGTTGCAGTAACGGGCTTTTAACGCAGCTCACTGCAATCGTCATTATTATAATAGCAGGTTAATTAAATTTAAATCCGTATTTAATATGTTTCATTTTTCTTCTCGCTCCCTCTCATTGTCCCGCGGCAGGTGCTCACCTTTCTGATTGACTCGTCGCGTTTTCGTTATCCGGAGCGTGCAATTGTGTTTCTGGCTGTCTGCTATCTGGTGGTCGGCTGTGCCTATGTGGCAGGTCTCGGTGCGGGGGATTCGGTTTCGTGCCGCGAACCATTTCCGCCGCCGGTGAAGCTGGGACGGTTGCAGATGGTATCGACCATAACGCAGGTAAGTACAAACTATAAGAAAGAAGTCGAAGCGCGTTGTCTTCAAAATTTCATTTTTATTTATGCAACGGCAAACTGACTTCCGCTTACCCCCAACCACGGCCACTGCCACAACCCCAGTACCCCTGCACTCCTTCCCATACCACTACGACTGCCACTATAATATTTCTTCTCCATCCCCCCAGGGCCATCGTCAGACCACAGCTTGCACCGTATTATTCATGGCATTGTATTTCTGTTGCATGGCCGCATTCGCTTGGTGGTCGTGTTTGGCGTTCGCCTGGTTCCTGGCCGCTGGCCTCAAATGGGGCCACGAGGCAATTGAAAATAAATCGCATTTATTCCATTTGGTTGCGTGGGCCGTTCCCGCATTGCAGACCATATCCGTGTTGGCGTTGGCGAAAGTTGAAGGTAAGTGCCCCAGCCCCAAATGAGGATTATGATTATTTTAGTGAGCGACCTTGAACCTGAACGACTCCGTACACCGTCGAAATTTAATAAGCTTGCCACAAAATAAAATACATAAATTATCAAGCACTTAATAGACAGATAGACAGTGCGACAGACACTCACACACACAATTGGAGGCCTCACTGCCTAGTTGAGTCGCGTCGACTCGAGTCGAGTCGCATGTAAGATGAAACCGTCATTAGGCATCATTTGCGTCATTAACTGTATCTTTTGCCTTCTGTATCCGGCCAGCCCTGAACCTAACCACGCACAATGGCGACCGAAAGGCGGGCATGTGTACAAAATCCGCCGATTCTGAGCCGCTTAAGGAATTTCACCAGAATTCTTAGATTCCCCTGAATCCAATGTCAACGTCTCTTGAAGTGTCGTATTTCAGTTAATGCGCTTTAAGAGTGTTGCTTCTATTAAAGGCAAGGAATTTTATGTGTTTTTGCACATGAATCAATTAAGAATTCATAAATATAATTTACTTGAATACTTGTCAATGTTTAACTATTCATGGAAAGGCGTCAATGGAGCAGTTCATGTTGAACTATTTGCTTAAAAAATGTACCATTGAAAGGTGATATTATCAAAATCACAAGTCTCAGATTATTTTTGTTAGTTCGTGTTTAGTTTGATGATAAATTTCAATGAAAATTAAGCAAAAAATCGATTTGGTTTAAAGGAATAAAAATGTGTCAATTTCCCAAAAATAGTTTTCAAGATCATCGACTTATTAGGATAAGATTTTTAATTGTTACCACGCACATTTTCACTTTTTACACTCGTTAAGTTTGGCGTCTTTGTAATAGTTAATTGTTTTTTTTTTTTTATGGCCGTTTCCTAACTTAAATATATTTATAAAAAAAGATATTGAAGAAAGCAATCTAATAGTTTTCGCTAAACTGTTACTTAAATAATAATTAGGTTTTATTTTTATTATTTTAAAATTTATCTTCTCAAGCGTATTAACTAACTATGCATTTTTTCGATATTTATCGATATTAGCATCCCGCTTTATTTTGTTTTTATTCCACTGTGCACCGTGCTCCAAGCCCGTGCGTGCCGCCAGTTCAAAGCCATTTTGTGGATCATTTGGAAACGGGTCGAGTTGGAGAAATTACTTATGCCCGCGATTTCTGAACAATTTAATGACCTACGTCTACGTGTTTCAAAAGTAGACATGAAATAAATCTTGGCACGAAATGTTAAACAAAATGGCTGGTAAAATGGCCACGTTAAAGTGCCGTAAAAAGTGTGTGTGCGGCTAAGATTGTTGGTTTTTCGTTTCTTTTATTTTGGGTCAAAGAACATGAAACAAATTGGCTTCGGCCTGTTACCAAAACTAATTCGCTTAACGCTGTAAAAGCAAAGCCAAACCAATTTTTGGTAGCAACTCGAGGCACTTCATTTGGCAGGGGCTGACTGGTGTTGCCAACGACACAGACCATCTTAGAGCCGGCACCATTTCGGGCTTAATTAGATTGCGGCTTAATGACTCAATTGTGTTTGGCATTATGGCGCATTTGAGTTTGGCAGCAGGGCCAGTACGCATTACGAGTATTGGATGCTGCTAAATTCGGTCTTTTTTAGAGCGTCGATATAACTCTCCAGTAATTAAATACAGCAAGCAGCACATGATTATGGCTTGTTAGCCAAATGAAATGAGTCGAAACGACGTGAAAGTCGCAGCAGCATCGAGTGTACATTATAAATGAGGACAGATCTGAACTGAGCTGAGCTGAGCTGTGAGCCGAGATGGATTAGCCCGGCTGCTGAAATATGAAGCCCTTTCTCTTAATAGTTTGTCTCAAATGTTTTTCCTACAGTTATTCTTACATTTATCATGTTTTTTTTTTAATTTTTAAAGAGAGCTAGCTGGTCGAACTTTGTATTGAAAACAAATTCTGCAGAGGAGAAAAATGCTAAAGCGTTTCCTTTCGAGAAGTAATTAATCATTGTTTTTGAAAACCTAATGCCAAATCGGAACACGAAACTTAAAATGCAAGCATTAAGAAGTATTTTATAGCAGGCAGTAGAAATATAAATTCAATATTTTTATCTGCAAATATAATAACTTGTAACTTGTTGCGCAACTTTTCGACCATAAAAAATTCTGCAACGAAAATGCTAAAAAACATCTTAATGCGCCTCATATTTAAACTCGCACTTCCTCTCGCTTCTTATTCTCCAACTACTTGAGAGCCAAATTCAAATTGCACTCTTTCAAGTGCTCGGCAAATATAATCAAGAAATTTCCACTTAAACAGCCGCCTCAGTCGCAGTTCACATTTTGCTAATGCATGCAAAATGGCAAAGCCATAAAAAAATATGTAGGAGTATATTTTCCAACATATTCATGAAACCAAAGAGGAAAAACATTAACAGCGATTTATGAAAATCTTTGAGGCTACGATAAAATATATATGTATGTACATACATATATACGAGAAGGTAAAGGTATACTCTCGAGTATGTATATAAAATGATGACTTAATGCACTGCAAGTGTTTGGGAAAATGTTGGCAGAGTTGTTGGAAATGTTGTTGCTGTTATTGTTGGCACTCCTTGAACTGCTAAAGCCGAGGCGAGTCGCCTCAACTCGAACGGCAAGAGGCAGGAAAGGCTGTGCCCGCCTCACATTCAGAAACCATTCAGCGACAATTAATGTTAAATTTAAAAATACATTATTTTAATGTGTCGGTGCTCGGTGAGAGCAGTGACTAAGAGACGTTTGTTGCTGTGGCTGTTGTCCCGACTCTGGGCACGGGAAAAGGCGTCAATGGCGACGACGACGACAACGACGACAATGACGATGATGACAACGGCGACGACGATGAGGACGTTGGCAGCGACTGTGAGGTAAACACAGAGCCAAAGCCTCGCCGCCGGCTACGTGCATTGAATTTGTAATTTGCGCACGTTCGTTGCAAACATTGAATAATGCTCACACACACACACACACTCACAAGCACTCATCTATACACACACACACACACACAGAGGGACAGAGTGGCACACATATTTGCCGCATAGTAAATAAATGCTGGCCATGTTTGTTTGGCTGCAATTCTTAGTTGAAGGCATTTGTATGCCCAGAACCATGTCGCACCTTAGCGACTGCATCAGCTGTGACTTCGTGGCTGCCCCGCGGCATCCCATCCATCAGACCGCCTGGCCACGGCTAAAAGGAAGCATCAATTTGTATTGACCACACGGCCAGTTGGCAGCTCATTTGATGGATTTCCTTTGACTGCTGCTAACTAACATAATGCCTATGAGTTGGACGCATGAATCGTATGTCTTTTGGTTTCGAATTGTCGTGCCGAGAGCCAAACAGACAGACATACAGACAGACAGACAGACAGACAGACAAACGTTTAATTTATGTAAAATGGCAGCGCATTCGATTTGTGTTCAGCATGTCAAGCAGATGGGCGTATGGCCAAAGGTGTCGGAGCTGCCACATAAAGCAAGATAAGGTATTTAACAGATAGTTTTGGAATGTGTTGACATTCGGCCACACATACTACTACGAGTATATGTATGAACAATTTATGATGAATATTTGTGAGAAGCTACAAACTGTCAGCAACTCTCCACAACACACTTCGAATCGAAAACTAAACTAAACATAGCCGATATCATGGTATTGATATATTAATGTTAATTATTAAATAAAAAAAGTTTAATATATAGTCATGCTTTGGCCGAATTTACTACGATATGCGAAAAATGTAGTGGTTCAGTGGAAAATTAACCTTTATAAATAAATTATAATTTGAGCTGACAAAAATATTTTAGGGGATTTACGATTGCTTTTCTATAGTTGTCTCGATTCCTTTAAACCCCGCACCATACCAACAATTTATATCCGATAATTACTACTGTAGAAGATTGTTCGTGCATGTAATCGAAACGAATTGTTAATTTTTAAGCAAAATGTATACAAAAACTTGTTTTTTTCAAAATGACGAAGAATTTTTAATTTGTTCAACTATTGATCAATCACAATCAATTGTTGGCACAACAGCTGTTGTAAATTTAAATTTACAAGCATTGCCAGTTGCCAGTTTAAAAACAGCCAGAAATTTCACCCATTAGTGGGTTGAGTTCTCCAAAACCTTGGATCAGTAAAAAGACGAATAATCTCTCCTCCATCGATCAGGAATTAATCATTTGTTTGAAGAAGTATCTTCTGAGTATACATAGCATTTGCACAGAGGGATTTCAATCTGACCGAAAACCTATTTGTTATGTTAATGTACAGCTGCTAGGCTTAGCTCAATCAGATGTATCTTCACGTGCGTACGAATAAACAACGAGTAGTGCAAAACAGAGTACCCCTGAAAGTAAATAATAGTCAAATGGTAACCGCAACTAACTCACTTTAGTTCCATTATCAAAATGTATACGAACCAGCTTCAAGTAAAACACAAAGTACGCTGGGAATAAGTCCGTAAAGCGCGATCCATCCATTTAAACACATCAGCGTCTCCACTATTACTAAAACAACGATGATAACGGCCAAAATTAGGGCAAGGTTTCGACGATCCTGCATATATACATACATTTAGATGTTTAAGTTTATAACTGAATTATGTGCCCTAATGAAATGATATCGTACCTTTAAGATTGTAAGAATGAAAACAAGTGCTAATATTATGCATACTACCGCAAGCACCACATGTATGATCATCCAAATGGTCATAACAGCTTGTGAAAGAAAGTGATTTTAGAATGTCAACTTTAATGAAATTGCCACCAACTCTATGGTAAACACTTACAAAATAAGCCATAAAAATACTCGTATACTAGTATAATAATCTCAAGAAGTATTATATCAAGACCGAATATTAGGCAGCCTTGGCGCAGTGAGTAACAGCAGCATCTATTGAGACGACACATGACTATAATTTTATCAGTTTAAATTTTTCCGAGTCTATATATTACAAGAAATTGTATGAGTATTTCTTTGACAGGGTTCTCACAGCCCAGAAATTCTGTACAAATATGATAATTGATAGTTTGGGGATTCTTTATAATATTGAAGCTTATTGAGTTTTGTTTTAAAAAGATATTTATTCGATTAATTAGGCAAGGGAGAACGCTACAGTCCAGCAAGCCCGACAGTAAAATACTCTTCACAACAATTTTAAAACATTATTAAAAAAATTAAATTAATTAATTAAATTCAATAAAAAAATTTCACGAATCAGTTCAAGCAGCAACAATTCCGGTCAGAGCTTTGGCAGAGAGTATATTTATGGCTATAATATATATGTATACTTTGTGGGGTCTGCCACGCCTCCTTCTGCCTGTTACATTCTTTAGCTCCCGCAAACCTAATATGCATTTCATGTAAAGTTCATAAAAATGGATGAAATATAAATTGGCATTACTGAAGTCGCCCGCCAATTAAAAATCGTAGAGATGGGAGTGAGATGTTTTTTTTTTTACAAACCAATTAGTTATCTATATGTATATTGCGATATACTCCATGAAACCATGTAAGTTTAACACTCTTGTAAATTTCAGTAAAGACGTCTTAGAACCCTTTGCAAAGGTTGATATCATATGTTATTGATTTAAATCTTAAAACGATCATAATTGCCTTTACCTCAATACATTTTGTTCTCAATTAATTTTCAAATGCATACTCCTTGATTTCTTAGACCATATAATTCGTTAAATAATATTTAGCCACAACTTGATAAAATGCTGATTTATTTTCTCCTTTTTGACAATATATATTGGTGTTTAAAAATATTGCCAGAATGCCTTTAAATAATAGAACAATTATTAAATTATCATAATTATCTGGGTTTTTTCTTTTAATTTACTATTGCTTTTTAAATAATATTCGATGAAAAACATTCTACTATGGATTTCCTCGAAAGCTGAAATTTAATGATATTCCCATGTAAATAAGTATGTGTTTATGTACTACAAGTATATGTAATATTTATGTATATAAATATGTATATACAGCACAAGCCAACGCGTAATCAAGTTGCACGCCTCGCAATTCGCTTTTACTTGAGCAGAATTCATAATCATCTTCCTTTTGCTTAACAATTATTCTTAATTTATTTTTTTGCGCTGACACAAAAATATGCAAATTAACAAACGAACAGTACAACAGACAGGGAGTTGAAAGAACAGAAAATTAACAATTTGTTGCGCTTTTGCAAAATAATATGCCACGATTACTTGAGTTGCGATTCCCGAGCTCAGTTCAGTTCTACAGTATTTAGGCCTGTCTTGCCTCCTCTGGCCGTTCTCATTCCATTTGGCCAGCAACGCAGCCAGCCAAGTTATTAAAATGCGCGCCGGCAAGCGACACAGAAAGAGAGCAGCGCCAGCCTTGGATGGAGGTGATGGAGGTGATGGAGGAGGGACGAGGTAGGGGCAACAGGCAGCGACAAGCAAAGAAATGCCTTAAAATTAACATAATTTATCCACGTACAGAGAGAATTGCATTAGTCGTGCATTGAGCACGAGAGTGCAGCAGGCAGCGCTTTTATCGACTTGCCTATGAATGATTTATGATATCGATAGCTTAGATGGGATGGTGGTGAGGGCGGGGAGGATGGGTGCGGCGGGGCATGGGATTGATGGGCTATTGGCTGTGGCAGCCACTGTCCGGCTGCATAAATGCATGATGGTCGTCCAAAGCTTCTGAGCAGCACTCAAGGCTTAGCCATTATTATTGGTTTTGAATTTGCTTCGTTTGCTCGCCTCTTTTTCTCTCCAACTCTTTGCCACAACAATTTATGCAAGCGCATGAAGCTTCAAATGCCATTTACTTTGCTTTAAGATATAGAAGCGATGGACAAAACCAGTAAGCGCCGGAATATAATGAGCGCTAAATGAAAGTGCCAGGAATTTCTTCAGGGCTTGCCCAGAAATGCAATAAATAAATAATAAATAAATGCAAATAAGTCGCAAGAAAATTTTAATCTCTTTCAACAAACATTGGCATGCTCTGCACCAGTTCTAAGTTAAATATTGGATTTCCACACCAAGGGTCGTTAGAGCTAAACAATGTGGTAGACATGTGACTTCTTCAACAAACAGTCATATTAGGCAGCAAATTAATAAATATATAATATAATATAATAATAAAATAAATAGCAGCAGGATGAGGAGTTTTCAGGAAGTAAGCGTCTCCTAGGCAGTTAACAATATTTCAGCTTTCAGGGAAAAACATTTCTAAAAAACTGTGAAGCTTATTGCCTTGACTTAGTTGCTCCGTTCTTAATGTTTTTTAAAGAGTTTGTTCCTTTACAAATTGCCCAAAAATACAACCTACATTAAATCTGCAGAAAAAAGTACAATGATACCAATTATTTGTGGATAATAGATATAGATATATTTCATAAATCTAGTCCACAAAGGAAAAAATAAAAATCATTTAAATAATTGAAATCAAATCAAATCTGCAGAAAAAACGGGCTGAATTATGTGTGGATAAGCTATAGATATAGCCCATATTTCATAATTTATTTCCACAAAGAAAAAATGAAAATCAATTAAATAATTCATTGTATTGTTTACTGTCTTAAAAAATTCTTTATGTTCTTAGTAGACAGTACATCAAACTTGCAAATCAAATCTGCAGAAAAAGCTGACAGTAATGCCAATTATATGTGGCTAAAATATAATCCATATTTCATAATTCTAGTCCACAAAGGAAGAAAAAGAAATCATTTAAACAATTGATTGCTGTCTTAAGAAATTCTTTATGTTCTTAGTTCATAAAACTTGAAAATCAAATCTGCAGAAAAAACGGACTGAATTATGTGTGGATAAGCTATAGATACATATAATCCATGTTTCATAATTCGATTCCACAAAGAAAAAAAAATCATTTAAATAATTAATTGCAGTGTTTAATATTTTAGAAAATTGTTTATGTTCCATATTTCGTAATTATATTCCACAAAGCATAAACGGCAATTATCATTTAAAAAATTGATTGCAGTGTTTAAGAAATGGTTTATGTTCGTAGTTCATAAAATTTGCAATTTGTGTAGACGAGCTGTTTATAAAAGTAGAAAATGGCATTTTTCTTTGATATTAGAACATTTCTTAGGGCGTTTTAATATTTAGTTTGCCTTTCAATGTAATGCAAAGTCTTCAAATTAAATGTACTTTTTTGTTTTTTTGTACACAAAAAGACGCTTTGTTTAAACAATTGCTAAACAAATAAAATCACATAATATCGGCCGAAACGTAGAGTGTTGTGGATATAGAAGCACTGCCGTATATCGGAATTAATAAACTCATACACTCTGAGTTGGCACACAAAACTGAACGGCAATGACGAAACCGAAAAACTCAAAGGCAGGGAGAGAGTTGCAGTGGCAACAATATTGGCAACAACAACAAAAGGAACAACCGCAACAACAACAACAACAATGGATAGCAGCAATTGCGTAAAACCGGTAGCAAAATGGCGACGTACGCGCTTCATGCGTTGCACGCGTCGCAGATACGCAGCCAGAGATACGAGTATGGCATGGCACACACATACATGCACACACATATATATATATATATATATGTATGTATGTACACGAAGGCATGTCTACATGTTGCTGCTACTTTTTTGCTTCAGTTGCCATAGCTGCGAAGCTGCCTTTGTCGCATCTTTGATTACGTTTACAATTTGGCACTGTTTGTGGGCCGCTGCCTGCGCTGCCCCTCGGGGCGTATGAGCGTTTTTTATGGCCTTTTATTCGCGCGTTTGAAGCATTTGCCTCTTCTGCTGCTGCTGGTGCTCTTGCTGCTCGTGCTTATATGTAGTAACGTTTGTTGCTGTGCAGATTATTTGTTTGATTTCATTTTTATATATACAAGTATATATTTTTTTACTATAATGTGCGTCTAGGTCTGCGACAGAGCAACAGACTCTGTCTGTATCTGGCCTTTTGCGCTCTTCGGCTACATACGTGCCCCATTTGCCTAATGCTGCTTTTATTAGTGTTTACTTTGTTTATATTTATTTAAGTAATTAAATTGTCTGCTCATTGCCGACCATTTCATTTGATGTGCCACAACATGCATAAAGCAATTAGACGTCTTCGACTGCTATTATGCTATAAATATGTCTAGGTCTGGCTGACATATGTCTTTTCACTGGGATTGCTGGCAAAAGGCAATCTTTTCAATTCTGAAATTTCGCAGTTCTTCCCTTTACCTGTGAATTGCATACCCCTTATACCCAAGTGTCTAAAATTTTTTTTTAAATAACGGCAATGGAAAAAGAATTTTTTTTTATTTTTTATTTAAATGAAAGTAACATTTCATAAGCACTGATTGCCTGCAAGCCAATTTTCAATCTAACACTGAGCCTAGAAAGCTTCCAAATAGATACTATAAAATAGATTTTCTCAATTATTATTATTATACATGATTTATTATAATACAAATTTTTGTTTATAAAATTAACAATTTTAAAGCTGATCTCATCTAATTCTACTCTTGTTGACACTCTTAGCCTGTATTGTCTATATTTGTTTGTTTCAAAACCTATTACTATGGTTCTAGCTCCGTTTCTATTTCTTTAAACATTTCCTTTTTGGTGACCTTTAGTTTTCTGAATTCAAAGTTCATGCGCTTTCTGCTCTCAATAATTAACCTCAGCGCACAAATTATAATTATTAGCGAATTTTAACGCAAAGAATTCAGCATAACGGCTGACGAAAAGATCATTAAGCGCACCGTCTGCGTCGGACACTAATTTCTGGCAATTAAATTCATTAATTCAAATTAATATGATTTGGAAAACATCAAAAAGAATGTAAAACTAAATGCTGCATGTCCCGCCGATGGGCACACAAAAAGAAGAGCAGAGAACAAAAAATGAGGCAGGCCAATGACCAGACGCCAACAAAGAACATGCCACGTCGTGGC